GATCTGTCATCTGGAGGTAACGTTTTCAGTGGGAGAAAAATTTTGCCAAAAATTGGTCCACCCAAGGATCGGATCCCCCGACACAAACAGAGTAACATAGTGTATGCTGTTACGTGCCAGGAGGATTGCCAGGATTTATACATCAGGGAAACCAAACAACCTCTGGCTAAGACAGGGGCGGGCAATTCCAGGCCCCAAGGGCCGGTGTCCCTGCAGGTTTTAGATGTGTCCTTGAACCAACACAGCTGATTTAAATGGCTAAATTAGCTCCTCAACATGTCCTGAAGTTCTCCAGAGGCCTGGTAACGAACTAATCATGTGATTCAGGTGTGTTGACCCAAGGTGAGATCTAAAACCTGCAGGACACCGGCCCTCGGGGCCTGGAATTGCCCACCCCTGGGCTAAGTGGATGGCACAACACAAAGAGCCACCTCGTCAGGACTCTGCAGTCTGTTTACACCTACAGGCCAGTGGACACTCTTTCAATGATGAGGATGTAACATCCTGGACAGGGAGGAACGCTGGTTTGAGGGCGGAGTCAAGAAGGCCATTTACGTGAAAAGGGAAAGACCATCTCTGAATGGAGGAGGGGCCTAAGGGTACATCTGTCACCATCTTACAATGCTGTGATTGCAGCCATTCACCAACTCTCTGTGAATGGGACTCATGGCTATTGATCAGTGGTCATAATTTACATATTAATGATCAATCACAGTGATCGATCACATGCATTCAGTGGTGCTAGTTTCAGTCTTTGTGCAATGTCCTGTTTGTAAGGTTGGAAACCTGCAGTCAGCTGAGACTGAAGACGTCACCTGATGATGATGAAACGTTTCTCCCACTGAAAACGTCCTGATGAACAGAATCAACCTTTTGGGATTTACTTACCTGGATGATTGAGCATGCATGAAGACACTTAATATCTTGTGGCAAAGTTGTATAAGATAATAAAAGGGACTGACAGTGATGCATGGTGTTTATGGCAAACAATAGATCTTTTTTTCCATTACATACTGGATCTGGCTGCATGGTGTGCTCCCTCCTGGTACAAGAGCAGAGAGAAGCGCAGCACTGATGTTTGAACAATCTGTGTTTCAGTTCAAAGGTGGTGTATGGGGTGGAGGCTTGTTCCACATCAGAAGGCAGATGCATAGATAGTTGTTTATGCATGGAGGAAAGCTTATGTGGACAATTCTGAAAACATGAAGCTCGAGCAGTTTAGAGCTCATGACCCTAAACAGAACCTGTGAGCAGAGGTCTGCTGGGTTCATTCAAATAGAATTCTAGTTGATTTTGTGACTCTCTGAACACAAATTGTACCATTTAACACAATTTGTCCACTTAGAAACACTGGCCTTCAATATCCAACACATTAAGTACAAATTAATCTCTCTCAAGTTACACCTTTTCAAACTCAATTAGAAGAACACTTCATTTGTGTGTCAGCGTATAAAAGAGATCTCAAATGTCTTATTCAGATGTTAGGCAAGAAGATGGAGCACCGAGAAAACAGAAAAACTTTAAGCGACAGCCTAACACGCAGACAGTTTATACTATTTCTTCGGTTCCGCGTTGTATTGCAGTAAAAACTAAATACCTCTTTCATTACCCTTTTGTATCTGTGCACTAACGTTCTTTGTAATCTAAAAACTCCCACTAGGGCTTATAAACTCTCCACCAGTTGGTCTTAGACCTGAAGAAGCTTCTCGGATGAGAGGTGAAACGTCTTCAAGGAAAACTTAAAGAAGTCCAGACGCTTTTCTTTCCAAGATCTTGAGACTACCATGACCTGGATGACTGAGAACCTACAAAGACAACATTCTTTGTAGAGTTTCTCACTGTATTTAACATTAATGTAGGTGAAATTACTGAGTTTTATGAAATACTACTAAATGACATACGCTGCTCTTAAAAGTATTTATCCCTTTCCTGATTTCTTATTTTTTCCATATTTGTCACACCTACATGGTTTAGATCCTCAAAGTTTAATATTAGACAAAGATGACCCCAGAAAATGCAGAAATTCCACATTTGTTGGAAGACTGAGTTTAAATATAACCTATCAAAGTGAAGTAAGTTAAAAGATCTCAAGAACAGATGAGTAACAAAGTAATTGGAACCAATCAGTCTGGAAACAGTTACAAGGCCATTGCTAAGACGTTAGGACTCCAGTGATTTACTTTGACAGCCATTATCCACAAACAGGGAAATCTTGGAACAGTGGTGAACCTTCCCAGGAGTGGCTGACGTGTCAAAATTACTCCAAGAGGGCATTAGCGACTCATCCTCGCTTGCCTAAGCTCATTAATCAACAATAAGAAAGAGACTGGGCAAAAATGGCCTGCATGGCAGAGTTCGACAAAACCACTGCTCAACAAAACAAGTATGATGGCTTGTCTCATTTTTATTGATGATCCTCAACATTTCTGGGAAAGTATTCTGTGGACTCACAAAACAAAATTCAAAATAAAAAGATCACACAACAGTCAAACACGGTGGTGGTACTGTGGCAGCTTTGGACTGCTTTACCGCTTAGAGCTCGGACAACTTTCTATTACTGATGGATCCATGAATTTTGCTCTTTACTAGAAAATCCCGAAGGGGAATGTTGGCCATCGGTTTGTGGTCTGACACTCCAGAGCACTTGGGTTATGCAGCAGGTCAATGATCTAAAACAGACCAGTAAATCCAGCTCTGAATGCTATATTGATGCAAATAAAAGTTATGCATTCAACTCTTTCCTGTTTGTTTTAAGAGTTTTCTATTTGCATTTGTATTCATTTATTTTGCACGTACAAAATGTACATTATTCTCTTAAGAGAAGAGATTCATTGTACAAGATGCATCTGCTACTACTACTATTCAGTTTCTGGGCAGGTAATAAGAATACACAAAATCACATGATCAAGGAACAAATGATGTTAGCAGGACATCACCTCAAAGGTTCTGGTTGTATCTTCTGAGCAAAAAAGAATAAAGCAATATTAAATGTAAGTTGCACATCCAGGTTACAAATTAAGTTCTCAGAGCTTATTATTGATAATAATTATTATATTTAATAAGGTTTCTTCAATGATGAAATTACCTTGGTTTCTCAGTGATTTGATTGGTTTTCATTTTGTAACACTTGGTTGAGACCAGCAGGAGATGAAATAGTTAATCTGATCAAATTAATAGTAAATAAACTTCCACTGTTTCTCTCAAGTGAGTAATGAAAGTGTTGAAAGTGGGAACTGATAAGAATGTAGTGATTCCAATTCCATAATCAGTATCACTTATACATTCTATTCCTTATCAATTCTCTTATCCTAATTGGGTTATCACTGGCACCACCATTGCTAAGCAGCATATCAAAGACATTCATGCAAATGAGCTGCAATACTGCGCCCTGAAATGTTTGTACGTGGTGGAGGTCAGTCGCCCCTTTGTTGTGATCAGTGTTGGGGTCATTACTCAGAAAAATGTATTATACAGAATACTAATGTTCATGTTACGTTAAGTAACACTCATGTTACTTAATTTGTTACTAGTTGCATTATTTTCACGTTTCTCCATAAAAGGAACTGAAACACACAATAATCTCATAATTCCTATTGAAAAATAAAAACCTCAGCCTACAGTCCCAGACACCAACACACGTCTGTCATAATGAGGACGTAAATATGATGTTTCTCTTAGTATTTAGCAACAAGAACCAAAGATGAAAACCAGCAATCGCTACACTGATTTGACTTTAGAAACATGAACAGATGAAAATGGAGGTTTCAGCCTGACTGCTCATCACTGCTTTTGTTACCTGTTGAGTTTCAGGATCTGGCTGCCGGGCCCTGGACTCACTGAGCTTTCACATGGCTGCTTATTACCATGCTGTCTGTGCAAAGAGCCAAAGTTGTGTTAGCAGTATAATGCAGTGTTTCCTGTCCTGGACGCAGTTAGCACTTTAACATTGCACTCTTGTCCTTTTGTGCAATAAAAATAAAAGTAATGTCCATATCCACACTGTAGATTGCTCCATTTTTTCCTCCTCCAGCAGAATCGATGGGCAAGCAGACTAACAATTCCAAGGAATTCAACTACTGGGAACCAGTTCTCTACAAGAACTGGTTCTTGAGTCCCATCCCTAGTTGAAAGGTAACTATATTGTGTATGCTACCAGTGTTTTTCACATGCTTCAATGTGGAATCTAAAATGATACCTACACATTGAACACAGCAACACTGTTTACCTCGTGATCATTTACAAGTGTAGGAGAAATCAGTATAAAGTATATTGTTACAGTCATTAATATACAAATTGAATAACAGAGGGACACCAGGATCCATCGTTGTGCCACAGGCACCTTGTGATAACTTATTTTCTAAATATGATTTTATCCCGTTTAAAACACTTGTAGAAAACAGAGTGTAAAAGCATTTCTGTATTTACTGTGTGAAACACAGAAACACTGCACCTCGTTTATACAGGTTAGCCTTCATAGCCCCTGCAAACACGCCCAGCTCTAAACTGGGATAAAACACAGCATCATTTAACAGATGTGTTTTCAGCTGCTGCTAAATGACTTTTTTTCCAATAATTTGGAGACAACAGGTCATCTTCAAACTGGTCTGTAATGGGCTACTTTGTCTTTATCACCACCTTTATATGGAGAGTAACAACTGCACTGTTGAGAGCAAAGGGAAATATGGATACATGATTTTAGAGGACAAGAATCAAGCCAACCAGTGTTATCAAGTTACTCGAAAAAAGTAATTAGTTATTAATTACTGATTACTTCTCCAAAAAAGTAAACCTGTTACTAGGCTGATTACTTATTTTCAAAAGTAATTAGTTACTTTTTAAAAACATGATATACAACCTGAGTAGGTAATGAAGCAACCGGCCTTTCAGCCCAATTCTATTTTTTCTGCATAATCCATCATATACAATGTAACCACATGAAAAAGCCTCTGTTTAAAACTTGTTTTATTCGTTTTAATGCAACTGTCTTTGACTTGAAGAAATTCTGTAACATTTAAACCTGTTTCCTGCATATTCCAGCAAATAAAATAACATAATGTTTTGTGTTTACACTCTTTCAACTAGATGCAAGTAAAACTCAGCAAAAAATAAATAGAATCAAAGACTCAGCAGCTCTTAAATCTATTGCCACCTGTTTAGCAGGAGTGGGGCGGGTGGAGGTTTGCCCTCAGTGGTCATGTCAGTGGGGGGATCCGGGGCTTTCTCTGTGAGCGTCACGTTCCCGTGGCAGCGTGCTCGCTGCTCGCTCAGATTTGAAGTTTAATCTTTCGCTGTAGAAAGAAGTTTTCTTCCCACAGAGTGAACAGCGGACGGTGATGTTTTTGTCACTTTTACAGAATCAAACTCAAAGTAATGTGATTACTTCCACGCTTTAAACGCTGCACGGTCGTACTCTCTCCATCGCTCCATATTATCCATGTTGATCTGCACACGTCTGTTGCTGCCACGGACGTCGCACGCTCGTACGTCATTGTCATGAGACACTCACACAAACAAAATCACGGTTTAGTAACGCAGCTTACGGGAAAGTAACAGTAATCTAATTACTTTTTGCAATAGTAATCCCTTACAATACTCGCTACTCGAAAAAGAGTAATCAGATTACAGTAACACGTTACTTGTAACACACTACTGCCCATCTCTACCCCCAACTGACTTTGAATTTCTTAGTGATGTAATCGTTTGACCAGTGGTTTAAAATTAAACTTTCTCATTTGTGCCTACAGACAGTAAATCTGTGTCAAACACCAGGACACAAAGATTCACCCAGATGTCAACACAACTCTACAACAGACTCAATTAAATAATTATTTACAACAATGTGCAAATATAAGACTATCATTTACGTTTGCACCATTAAGTTTTACTCCATCTCCCTGTAATCTCTCTGTAACTTGCCAGAGACGATCGCCGTTCACTTGTTTAATGATTGAGGAAAAACTTGGCTCTAACCTGGATGTAACTTTGTTTCTAAAGCCTTTGGACATTACTGGTTAGTTACCTGACCTGCAGGGTCTGTGGATAGCTCCCCAGTGGGAAGTAAAAGAGGCTTTATAAAGAGTTATCTCTGGATAGCTGCAGCATGCAGCACTCTGCAATCCTTGTGTGAACCGATGTCCAACCACGGTCTCTCACTATGAACTTACAGTTGTGAGTTCATGGTGTTCATTCTCCCTTCTGGCTAAAGATGGGACCAGAACAGAGCCTTGTGCATGTGTGAAATATTTTAAGAAAACTGAGACTTATTAAAGAGGACCGCGTATATCCACAGCTTTATAAAACTGATGAAAATAAGCATCTGTGTCATTTATATTTGTCACTAACAAAAAACATTACAATACAGCGAAGCTGGGAAACCTTGAGTTCTGTTACTGTCATGATGATGCTGATGTTACTGTGACACTGGGCACGTAACTAAACACTGTGGCAGCCCAACCTCCCCACACCCTCCTCACAATGGCGTAATTCACCTGTACACCCTGGAAACTGCTCCGTAAATACAAAAACCCTCAAGTAGTGAAAAGTGATCCACAGACACAACCCACCACACACAGGACCCAAACAATCTACAGCCAAAGTCGCAGCCCACCACCTTCTTCTTTATATTGTTTATTGGCGTTTGGCAAACAGCAAAATGGCGCATTACTGCCACCAACTGGTGTGGAGTGTGGACTGAAATGTCAGAAGAAAAAAAATAGTTTGCCTTAAAAATATGGCCTGATAACTTTCACTTCTCGAGTTCTTCTGAACTAAGGTCCAGTTTCATATCACCAAACTTTCCAATCAATATATTTCTGACGATGTATTAAAACGTTCCATTGCTTCCTCTTCTCTACTGCAGTAACACTGTGCTGTGCGGTATTTGTCTTATTAAAAGCAACGTGTCCAGTCTGAGTCGAGGGACTACCTCATACCAGGCAGGTGGTTTTGATCTCACGGTCAGTCCCTGCACACTACTGACAAATGTAGTGTAGATAAGATGCACTTCGATGTGGTATCAACAGTCTCATGTATTACACGTGTCACATAACTGCACTCTGAAAATGGATGGATAGACATGTAATAATAACTCACCTTTTTTCCTGATAGGCATGGCGACTTGGTGTAAACCTGACTCTCAGTAAGGCTCCACTTCTGTCTTCAGTGCATGATCACAGAGTTCTCTCAAAGTGGCACAAAAACAGAAACGTTTGGTAAACTTCAACAGAGACAACTCAAACCAGCTGTTTTTGATTTTTATTCCAGGGACAATGGGGAGCCTTTCAGGAGGTATCCAAGCAAAATAAGGAAAGGACTAACTCCACTGATGATCCAGCCATGTGACTGTAGGTGTCTCTGTCCCCTTTACAATTCATCAGAAATCCACAATAAACTCAGAAGAGGTCCCCTGCAGCAACCTCTCATTCATATCTATTTAGTGCGTGCAGTCAATCAGTGGGCCTTGATGTGAGATGCAACAACAGTTGTGATTCTGCAGTTCAAAACATTATATGTACGAAGAGGCTTAGCACTTCTGTCTGGATGTACTTAATTAAGAGAAACATCCTTTGGCTGAAGAGTTAGCAGGCCACAGAAGTGCTTTGTCATGCTAGGTCGCTGGTGGTCCACACAACCTGGTACAGACAAAATAACACAGCAGGGCAAACAGGCAGACACCAAACCAAGATGCCCGGACAATCGGGCGGATGTGTACAAAAACGCTGGTTCGGTGTCTGCTGGTCCGGGGGAGCCTTGAGGTCTGGCCTGGGTTAACATAGTCTGCTCACTCGGCCGCTGTGGTGTGACAGTCCTCCACAGATCCACGGACAGGAGAACTGCTCCACATCCTTCATCCTGAGGTTTCCTCTACAGCCTGCCAGCAAGAACAGGGTAAAGGGTGAAGAACACTTCAAATATGCAGCTGGAGAAGCGATGCAGCAGTTCTCCTGCGCTCCTCAGCTAATACCCAGTGGTCACCTCAGAGTTTTATGCCCGGAGGTTTCGACTTATGGTGGGATGCGTGTCTGTGTCCCCCGCTCCCTCCTCGCATTACTGCCATACACAAACGCAAACATGCGCGGTGCCCGTTACTTACCTAGCATTCACGTTATATCGCAGCCAGCGGCGATGCCAAATGAAATGCCGCTTCAACGGTGCGACGACACCTGCCTGCCGACGTCGGCGCTAAACGGCTTCCAGGTGGGTCCGCGTTCATTTCCTGCAAAACGGTGACTGAAGAAACACAGTGCTGTGTTCTCCCTGTGCTACAGCCCTTTATTTCATCCCACCTGACAGTATCTTACAGTTTTACGTGCCAGAAACAAGCCCACTATACTACGTAAACGAACTTCCGCTTGTACTTTTCAAAATAATGCCTTCTCTAAGCGTACATTTTAACTCGACATGTATACTTATTTCAAACACAGCAGTCGCTCTGGCGTAATGACTGTTAGTGATTCAGTCCTCTGTGCAGAAGCGGCCGCTGTGAGTGACATTAAAGTGTCTGAATTAGCAGTCAGTGTAGTAAAACATATTTGAAAGAACACGAACAAAACCACTGAATGTGTGTGTGTGTGTGT